GCCGCCCTCCTGCCACTCTATAAAAAAACGACACCTGCTGCCTTCCCCATCATGCACTTCCCAGGCCCTTCCTGGCTTTGTATCTTGTGTCGCACGTGTGATCATCCGATGTCTTCTGTATCTTCAGGATTCATTCACTTTCTGTCCCTTCCACCGGACTGTAACCTTAGCGAGGGCCAGAGATTCGTTCCTTTCTTAAGTGCTCCTCTATCCCGGTTCTTAGAGCAGGGCTGTTGTAGCAGCCGGGGCTCAGACACGCTGTGACCTCAGCCAGCCCTCAGATCAACCCTCATAGCTGTCATACCCCCTCGTGGAGCTAAGGGAAACCCTGAGCGGGTACGTACCTTGCTCCAGGCCTTTAGCAGACGTGCTGGAAACAGTGTTTGAAGCTGGGCCCGTCTGACTCCGGAAGCCATTCCCCAGCACGACACACAGACCGCCTCCTGAACAACGCAGCTCAGTGTAAAACCTGGCAGCTCTCGTGCTCTTGGTCGGGAGGGTGAATTAGATTTATTTACTTATTTAAAAACAATTTTAATGGAGACAGGTGGGATTGAACCCAGGATCCCGTGCTTGGGAAGCACGGGCTCTGCCTCTGAGCTGTAGACCACACCCTCCCAAATCTGCAACCCTGATCTGCGCCAAACAAGCCGCCCAGGCTGCGCATCTGAGTGAGAGATCCTCTGGCCAGGACCGTGGTGAATGAAGTCACCTCGATAAGGCCACCCTGGGGAACCTCTGGCGTGTCAGCCAAGCAGACCCTGGGCCACCTATGTCATCATGAACCTGCTTTCCTCTTTGGGTTTCTATGGACTCCTTATATTCCTGAAGTTCCTCTCTGCACTCAGGCCCCTGTGTTTGTCCAGTTCCAGGGGGGCCATTCCCACTGTAGTCTACAGGGATGCCCCCCTGGGGGTGGGGCTGAGCACGGTGGCTCTGTCCCCACTGGTCCATCCTTCTAGTTCAGACAGGGTGTAATCCACTGGTATCATGGAGAAGCTTGGCCAAAAAAAATGCTGGACAGTGAATGTGTGTTTTACAAGAGGTAGGGCCCACGTCATGTCGATAGGAAGACAGAGACCCAGCAGGCATGGCTCTTCCTGGAGATGAGCTGTGATTTTATCCAGATACTTTCATAGAAAATGAACAGCAGTTTAGAGTGAATATGACCATCGTTTCTGCCTCCCCACCAGGGAGCTTAGCTGTCATCCTCCATTCTTCCAATCAGACACAGGGCCCAGGCGCCCCCTCTCCTCCACCCCTAGGAGGAGAAAGCCACCAGCATTGAGAGGGTGGGTAGCAGAGGAGGGAGAAAGCTGAGTCCAAAGAAAGAGCACAGGGAAAACTCGGAGCCTCCCTGGACAAGACCAGGGCTGGGTGACCCAGGGTGAAGCAGGGCCGAGGCAGATGAGGTTTTACTTAGAACAGGTGTGGAGAGCCACACAGCAGGCCTCTGCCCACCCCGCAGAGTGGACACCTGGGCCCTGGGAGCAGTTGCCTGTGGGGGCCCCGGTCCTGGAGGAAGAGTAGGTCACGTGTCCTGGAGTTTCTCCTCCCAGAAAGTAGCTGGAGCCAAGTCCTTGGTGGAGGAAAGAGGGCCCAGCACCCAAGCCATAGGGTCTGGTTCTGAGCTTCACAGCTTCACTGTGGGCACGTTAATTCCTTCTCTGCAGAAGAGAGAAGCGAGGGGGCAAGGCGGCTCAGAGGACACACAGAAAGCCTAGAAAATGACCAGTGGTCCCCTTGGGAACTGAAATGAGCACCCAGTTCACATCCAGCCAGTGTCCAGCAGGCAGTACCGAGGACGTGTGGATAGAGTGCCCCCAAGCCCAGGCCCCGAAAGTGTGAAAACAAAACAGTGAGGCCAGATCCCACGGCCGAGTCAGAGGAAGCTGGGCGCGTCCATCTCTGGGTCTGATCTGTCCATCTTCAGAAATGGACAGGGGCCTAGCTGGAGATTTGGGGGCCATGAAGAGGCAGGAGCAGGGACTGTCACCTGCGGGGCTGAGTGTGAGGGGAGGGGAGGTCAGGGCCAGAGAGCCCAGCTTGTGAGGTCCCTGCTGGCCACCCCAGGTCAGAGGGCTGAGCAGAGAGCCGTGTGGACACCTGGACCGCAGGGCGTCAGGGCCTCCTGGAGCACCCCCCCATCCTTGAGGGTCCAGCCCCAACCCCTTGCCCAGGCCTCGTGTGCACATTCACAGAGAAGCCCCAACAGGACAGGCTCCTGAGCCTTAAAACACACTGGGTGTGGCAGGGCCACAGGCTAGGCGCCCACTGAGGACTCGTGAAGGGCAGGCCGTGCCCAGGCCAGGGGAAGGGCAGCGCAGACAACAGGGCCTCGAGCATCAGGCCCCTGTGCACCGTCTTAGAGGCACAATGACCAGAGAGAAGCCTGCGTGACTCCGCCGAGTTCTGCCCATTGTGACGTCGCCGGCGGGTCTGGCTGTGAGAGGGAGGCCTCGTCCGCCCACTGCCCTCAGCCCCGGCCTCCGCTGCCTCCCAGGCCAACAGCCATGCCAAGGACCATGTTCCTCTGGCCACTTCTGCTGCTCTTGCCCGAGTACTGGGTCGCACATCTCGGTACGTAGACGCCTCCCCGAGGCCAGAGCGGCCCCCCGAGGCGGGCTTGGGCCTGGCTGCGGCCCAGCTCACTCCCTTGCGGCCGGTCTGTGATGGGCGTTAGGGCAAAGGGAGAGAAGTGATGGGCAGAGGAGCTCAGGAATGAGCTCACTGGCCACCAAGAGGCCGGCTCACAAGAGCAGTAGCTTCCTGTTTCCCACACATCCCGTCCTCTTCTTCCCCAGCCTATCTGACCTTACAGTTCGGTTTTGAAGTCTGAGACTTTATCCCCAATGGGTGATGGAGGGCCCAGAAGCCCGTGCCCCGGATGAGCTGAGCATCAGTCCTTGAACTCAGAGGCAGACGAACATAGGCCCTGGGCCCCAGCAGGGCTCCCAGAGCTGCAGACACAGAGCAGAGGCCTAGCTGAGCACAGGCTCCGTGTGCTGTGCCTACGGGTGGAGGACCAGGCCTGCCCTGCTCCACAGGCAGCTCCTCATGGCCCCTGACAGGCTGTTTCTCTCTTAAGAGGGTGGCTGATGTCGGAAGGAAGTCATTTAGGTCAAGTACTTTCCCACGTTTAATGCCCACCCTGCCATGGTGGGCTCTTCACCCTTGGCCCCACGCTCGGGCGAGGAGCTCTGAGCCTCCCCGGGGTTGCAGGTCGATCCAGTCACGCAGCAGGGAAACGGTAGGGCTGCGATTGGCACGGGTGTGATTCCCTGTCTGCACACGGCCTGTGTCCCCGGCCTCCCTCATGCCGGCCTGGGCTTGGCCGCACCATGTGAACTGGGTGGTTGGCGTGTTATGGGCAAAGAATTGGCCGAGTTCTCTCTAAGAGCCGGTCCAAGTACGACTGATGGAGGCTCGAAGCCCTTCTCATCATTTCAGCCCTGCCTCCATCACTGCGTACGGCTTCATGCTCTAGCGTTAATCGGTAAGTCTGCACAGCTCCACGCTGGTGATGTGGGCTGTTCTCAAGACCAAGGAAAGGGGGCCTTTGGCACAAGAGGATATGAGAAATCCTGACGGCTAACGTGGCTGGAGGGCTTTCTCTGTGCCAAGCACTGTGTGGGGCGCTTCAACACCCACGGTCTCGTTCACACTGTGCATCTGTTTTATGGCGTGGGTGTTAGCTTATGTCCATTCTGGGAATGAAGGAAGAGAGGGTAAGTAAGAATAAGTAGTTTTCCCCAAATTGCTCAGCAAGTAAGCAACAGAGCCAAGATTCAGACTCGGGTTGGGGGACCCCAGAGCCTGAAATGGTGCCCAACACGTGTAAACACTGTGTGTGAGTTTGGTAAATAAAGAGGAAGGGCAGACCCAAAAGTCCTGGAAGGAGCCTCTACCTGCTACTGACGGCTGAGGGCTACTGAAACATAGCGACACACTTTCACTGCAGTTTTTTTAAACCACAGATGACCACCAGTGTGTCCCTCCAACCCATACGACGAAGTCCTCAAAACCTCTGTTGAGTGGACAGGTGGAAAAGTAGCATCAAGAGAGAGAAAGGGGTCTTAGGCTCCCGACAGTCAGACTTATTCCTAGTTCCAGACACAAGATGAGATTCAAGTCAGAACATACCAAGAGGGTCTCCTCCTCCTGGGGGCAAGGGGCTGGATCTGGACTCTGTCCAGAAGGCAAGTTCCTCTTCTCCGCCTAGGCGGCTGCAGCCTTTACTCTCAGCCTCCGAGGAGACGGAGCTGCTCCATCTGGAACAGAATGTTCTCACCTAGTATAGCTCAGGGCTCCTGGGAGGCTCAGGCCCTCTCAGGGCCACCCTTCCGGTTTCCCTGTGTGTATTGGTGTCCTGTGCTGCTGTAACAGGCTACCACACACTTAGTGGCTTCAACAATACCAACTTCTTATCTTACGGCTCTGCAGGATAGAAATCCAACATGGGTCTGTCTCACTGGGCTAAGGTCAGGGTGTCAGCAGGACTGTGTTCCTGTTAGGGGCTCTTGGAGAGAGTCTGGTGCCTTTTCCAGTTTCTAGAGGTCTTCCACATACCTTGTGGTCCCTTTCTCCATCTTCAAAGCTGGCAACACTGCATCTCTCTGCGGCTTTCTTCTATAGCTACACCTCTCTTCTCCTGCACCCTTCTACCACTTTTAAGGACCCATGTGATTACACTGGGTCCACTCAGATTACCCAGAATAATCTCCCCATTTTAAGGTTAACTGATGAACCTTAATTCCATCTCCAAAGTCCCCTTTACCTTGTAAGGTCATATATTTATGAGTTCCAAGGTGTGGTCCATTAGGATGTGGCCATCTTTTGTGAGGGGGCATTCTTCTTTCGGCCACTCTGGGGTTGGTCCTGAACGAGTATTTTCCTCTGATTTCCCTTGGATGAAAAAAGAAACAAACTTAGTGAAGTGAAGTGACTTGTCTACCTGGAAGGGAGACAGAGCTAACACTTCTGACCTACTTTCCCGGCTCTGTGCCACAAATATGAAGTGTATGTTGGTTTACTCACGTTCCTAAGGGTGTTTCACTGGCCTGGCCTCAGTCTCCTCATCTCTAGAATGGGTATAATGATAGCTACTTACAGGCCTTCTGTGGATATTGATGAATTGTTGCATCTTTTCCCTTCCTTTCCCTTCCATTCTACCAGAATGTGGTGAAAGGCCCAATTTTGAGAGAGGAGCTCAGTATTCCAGAATCATAGACGGGGTGGAGGCTAAAGTGGGTGAGTTTCCATGGCAGGTGAGTATTCAGGCAAGAAATCAGCATTTCTGTGGTGGCACGATCATCAGTGAGTGGTGGATTGTCTCGGCGGCTCACTGCTTTTTCTCGGAGGAGATACTGTAAGTACCCAGAGCCCATCCCCGTTACTCCTGACAGTGGGCGCCCCGGGGCACCCCCACACGCAGCCAGACCTGACTGTTGAGGGGACCCTAGGGCTGATCGGTCGTGGATCAGGCACGAATGGCTCCACCCGTCCCCTCCGGCCCTGGGGATGGGGAGGCTATGAATCCGAGGCTGTGCCCATCCTGTTGTCACCCAGGACCATAACCACGGCTTCCCAGATGTTACACACTGTCCTCTCCAGGCACATCTCCGGCCTGCTGGAGCCAAAGGGCTTGGTGTGTCCAGCTCTCCTAGGACATTCAAGTCCTTCTGGGAAGAAATCCTCCTAATTCTGGGCGTCTGGGCCGTCTGACACCTTACTTCCCTGCTCCTGTAGAGCTTTCTCTGTGCTCCAGGGGACTGGTGTGAAACAGAGCATTTACTGGTTCCTAGTCACGGACAAGCCCCGGAGGACCCTAGAACTGCATGGGGTTTAAGTTTCTTGGGCACGGCAAGTCCCACGTGCCTTGTGACTTCCGTTTCCCTCCCTCTCTCCCTCTGGTTCTATGCCACCAGTCCCTCAGAACTAAACATTGTGCTGGGAACCAATAGCTTAACCGGCCCGTCTCTGGAAGTAAAGGGGGTCACGACCGTGATTATCCACAAGGACTTTAAAAAACTCAACATGGACAATGATATCTCCTTGCTGCTGGTGGACTCACCCATCACGTTCAACGGCCTGAAAGAACCGATCTGCCTGCCCACGCAGCCCAGCCCCTCCACGTGGCACAAGTGCTGGGTGTCAGGATGGGGTCAGATCAAAAGCTGGTACGTAACTGCTGAGCAGCTCCCAGGAGCAGATCGGGGAAGGGCCCCTTCACAGTGTCTGAGGATGGGCCAGTAAACCTAAAGGAGAAAGGAGAAGGTGAAAGGGGGGTGTGGGGGAGACGGCTTGCCGTGGAACAAATTCCTGCACACCAGAAACTCACAGAGGCTTAATCTCAGCCTCTTCCATGTGCCAAGGAAACATCCTCCCAAGGCCCCGAGCTGAGATGCCAGGTGTGAGCCAGGCCCTGGGTGTGGTCATATCCCACCAGCACAGAGCAGGCTTGTTTAATTGAATTTAAACCCTCCAGTTGGCCAGGGGTTCTCTGCTCTGCTGTCTCATATCTCCCTGATTCACCCACTGATGTTTCCCACCTGGTCCCGACAGGCATTCAAGACGCCTGCCCTGGCCTGGACTTTCAATGGGCCTGGAGGGCTGCCCACCCCTTCTTAGAAATGAATCTGGTGTTACTCATCACTTGCTGTCACACTGTGACTTGGCCAAAGTAGGAGGAACCGTACGAGGGCATAAAGGGATTATGAAAGCCCCACTGGACTGTCCCCAAAGAAAACTCAGCAAAACCAAGTGCAAACAGATGGGGGAAGAGATGGAAACAGTATAGCGCTATCTCAGGTCTGAACAGGACTCCGTCCTCAGAGATGCTCTGCAGTGAGCTGGGGTCTGAAGGATGGGGGGCAACTGATATGACACTGACTCAGGGCTCCAGGCACAACTCAAAATTTAGAATTGAGGAGGAGGTAGATGGGTGCCTACAAGATTAAAAATACTCAGTAAAGAGGAGACTCTGGAAATCTCTGTGTGGTCAGAGTTAATGAGATGGAGAGAAGTCCAGGCAAATTCTGGAAGCTGGCAGTCCATGAAGGGTCTCGGCAAATCCACTGTGAAGACTCTCGGCCCACTTACCTTTATCTGGAGGATGAGAAAGCTTTCTCATTGGGACTGCAAACCCAGTTTCAGCAGCCCCGCGTTAGAGAAACACGTAATGAAAAGTAGAAAGAGGCGAATATGCGGAGGCGGCAGGATTATGCTGAGAAATGATCACTAGCCAGTTCCAAGAAGTCAGGTCTGTAGGGCTGCTGGGCTCAAGCTGGAAGTCAAGTCTTCCTGGAGGCAGGAATGCGGTTTTGAACGAGGGGGGTACTTCAAGGAGGTGGGGGTTTATTTGGTTGAGCCTGGCGTGACAGAGTGAGTAAACTGCAAGGGATTCCTGGAATGGAGTGGAGGTGAGGTTCTGCAGGATGTGAAGAGAGGTGGACAGGTGGCCAGGGGGAGCGGGGCTGGCAGGATGGTCTAGGACACGCTCAGTTGCATTGCTGGCATGGGGACTGCTGTCCAGTGACTTTTCTACTGTGCTTTCTCCACGGGTCAGGTGCCAAACAGCCTATGGAAACTGAGCTGATGAAAGTGCCAATGATCATCATGGATTGGGAGAAGTGTTCAAAGGAATTTCCAAAACTTACCAAAAATATGCTGTGTGCTGGATACAAGAATGAGAGCTACGATGCTTGCCAGGTAACTACGGATAGCCCCTCCCTCATCTTACAGGTCTCTACCCTGCCTCAGGGCGGCCAATGCACAGGTATCCTTCTCCACTGGGAACAGACAGTAAGAGTTTGGAAAATGTGTGGGAATCAAGCTCAGACAGGGGAATGGGGATGTGGATTCAGGAATACTTACTGTCAGGTCCTTGGATTATCAACGCCTGCCTGGAGTCAGTATGCAGCAACCCTGTGCAAATATTTCTGGTCTTCTCGAACTAGGGTCCCAAGACTTTACCCATTTATTAAAAAACAAAAAGGCAAGAAAGATTTGAGACCCATACAAGGAATTAGTTTACTTCATTAATGTAGCTACCTTTGTTGAGTGTGCTAAGCCCTAGGGAGCCAACCATTGATGAGACACGGTTTCTTGCCTAAAGGAGTCAACAATCTCCTGGGCAGGCAGTTGGTAGACAACAGTAATACACTGGGTAATGCGTGGGGGGTTCACTGAACCAAAGTCTGGTAGCTTAGGTTCTCTTTAATAAAATGAACACAAAAAACTTAAAAAGAAAAACATTTTTTGATTGGTGCTAGGAAAAAAAAAACCCTCATAGATTAGCTTCCTCTGGCTCTATGGATGGGAAGGATTCATCTTGGAGGGGTTCAATCTGATGAGCCCACTTGGTCCTACTCATCAGCTGAACAGTGGATTAACTTACAGATGTTAAACGTTCTGTAGAACGTAGATGAAGAGGCTGGGAGGTAAAGACTGGACTCCGGCAGCAATGGCGCCAGGTTTAGAAGGAGTCCCCCGACATGGATGAATATTGTGAGGACCACAGAGAGGCAGAATCAATATCACATGAACCCTGCGTCTTCTCCATATTCTGGACAACTTAAAACATTACAAAACAAAAGAGAGAATTAGGACTTCTGTCTCTGGACAAGATGGAGTAGACACATTTCTCTTGACCCCTCTCACTAAGCACAACTAAAAGCACTAGACAGTATATGGTAAAAAGAAAATAAAGGCTCTGAAAGGTGAAGAGAAGACTGGAAGCAAATGTCCTAATACTTAAGGAATGACACAGCAGCAAATTCCTTGGGCTTTCTTTTTGCCTCTTATATCCCAGACTGGATGCTAGAGAAACCCGCAACCCAGAAATGCCAATGGGCACAGACAAAAACTAACAAAACAATTCAAACCAAGAAAGCCTGCCTCTCTTTGAATTAAGAAAGGGGGCAACCTAGCAAGGCAGAAACGTTTCAACAATAAATACTCTATTGCAGCAAAACACCAGGAAAAAAATCCCATTGCCCTCTACCCCCGCAACCAAGGTTGAGTGCACAGCCCTGCCTTCCCCCTTCCCCTGCCCACGGTGGTCGTGTCACGGGAGGCTGAGTGGCAAGCCAGGACTTTAACTACCACTTCGTAGTAATAAGCCATCCTCTGCCCTCTTCTGAGCCTGGGCTCCCACCCAACTGTCCCTGGCCCTCCTGCTCTTCCCCTTGGTGTATCACTGACCTGTGTCGGTGGGGAGGTGTCTAGACTGCCCCCCAGTCCAATGGGAAGGAGATGGTATTCCCCTCCCTCCACTCCATTTTCATAAAAGACTTGTTAACAGAAGATTTATATGAGAACCAGAGTCTTGCAACCTAATACTCAAGACATGACCCATAATAGACAGAATAGAGTTTTGCTACTATATGTGGATTCAATTTATTAATAAACACAGGATAAGGTAAAATAAAGCTAAAAACCTGAGTAGAGAATCTTTTCTTTTAAATTGACAATTATTCATTCTTAAAATAAATTCAATTAAAACTTAACTCAAAATGGATCATGCCATTAAATGTAAAAACTATATTTTAAAAAACTTAGAAGAAACAAAGTGTTTGGGACATAGAGTGACATCAAAAGGGTGATCCATAAAGGAAAAATTGAATAGCTGGACCTTACCAAAATTACAAACTTTTCCTGCATGAAAGAGCACATTAAAAGGATGAAAAGACAAGCTGCCGACTGGGAGATGGTAGCCATTAAAGGAACACAGAACACAGGAAGAACTCTTAAACTCAACAGTAGAAAACAAACCGTCCAATTCAAAAATGGGCAAAAGGCATGGACAGACATTTCACCGAAGAGGACAAACAGGGAGCAAAATAAGAACATGAAAAGATGTTCGGCATCATTAGCTCCCCCAGCAAATGCAAATGAGAACCATGAGGCCCTCTCACCCCGCACCGCTCAGAACGGCCAGAATGAAAAAATGGCTCCTACACAAAACGCTGACAAGCATGCAGAGCAACTGGGTCCCTGATACAGGGCTGGTGGGAATTTAAAATAGTGTAATCGCTCTGGAAAACAGTTTTGCCATTTCTTTAGAAACAATGTACTCTTGCTGGATAGCCCAGCGAATGCCACTCTTAGGCATTTATTCCAGAGAAAGGAACATTTGTGTTTACACAACAATCCGTGCAGGAGTGTTTATAGCAAATGTATTTGTAACAGACAAAAACTGGAAACAAATGTCCTTCAAGATGCGGATGATTAAATAAACGGTGGTGCGTCTATACCGTGCAATGCCACTCAGCTGTGACAAGAAGCAAACCATTGATATGTGCAACCTCGTGCATGTGTCCAGAGACTTACGCCATGTGAAACAAGCCAACCCCCCAGGTCCCACGCTGTGTGATTCCATTTACATAACATTCTCAAAAAGACAAAATTATAGAGAGGGAGGACAGGTTAGAGGTTGCCAGGGACTAAGGAGGGTTTGGAGGTGCAGGGAAGTGGATGCAGCATTAAAAGGACAGCATGAGGTGTGCTCGTGGTGACAGAAATGTTCTGTGTTTTGACCGTATCGATGTAAATGTCCTGGTTGTGCTATTGTCCTATGCGTAGTTCTGCAGGTTGGTTTTACTGGGGGGAACATGTAAAGGGTACGTGGAATCTCTCTGTACTATTTCTTCCAACTGCACACGAATCTACCATTAAATCAAAGTCAGAAAAATAAAGAGAAGATACGGCTTTTCAAGAACAACAGGTAAACGGAGGTCTCAGAGCACAGCCATGCCGCAGACCTAGGGAGCAACCGGTTCATACTGGAGCAGGAGACAGGGCTCCAACATCGATTGAAAAGGGGAAACAACATTTAATAGTGGGATTGAAAAGAGAGGGCATTTCAGAGGGAATCACAGTCTTGTCAGCATCAAGTGTTCAGGGTGTTTAGCGAACTTTCGATATTTCAGAAGCCAGAGGTAACGGGGGATGAGTGGGGAGGGGCCAGCAGGGCCCGGAGGGAGGGTGAGCGCGCGTGGGAGGCTAGATGTTACCCCAGGCCGTCCCCCCTACTGCTCACCCAAGAATATAAGAATCGGGTCCCACCAGTATTCACACCTCTGCTTTCAATCTCTTTGATTCAACACCATCCCATATTCAAATGGCCAAAGCCGACCACAGCAACACTGGAAAAAAATCAAGTGTCTTCTTTGAGGATGTTTTCTGTACCCTTTGCTGCGATGGCTGGATCTGCCATCTGGAGTCTAGGGTTTTGCTCCATCCCCTCCTCTATCAAAATGTCCTTGAATGAAAGCTTCTAAAATTAATCACCTGTTACTTAAGAGTGCTATAAATAAATGTCCTGTTATCATTTTAAGCCCCTTTGAAAAATTGTCAAGTGAAAAGCTTTGCTCTCTGTTTAGAACACTTTCTATTGCTAAGAATAAGCTGACAGTGATCCAGTCCAGGAAATTTTTCTGAAATTATATAACATTATCATCACTTAAAAACAGATAAGCCAGGCAGAAAGTCCGCTATGGTTTAAAAATAATTGCCCTTGAAAAGAAAATCACACTTTTAAACTCAGCAAACTTGAAAGAAATATATAGTCACATAATTAAGGGAAAGACTATAATTTCATGATGAAAACACTGAAATATGTTCAAAATAATGGCAATAAGATTATGCTGTGCTTCCAACACAAATTAGAATTAAATACAAGTGGCCTTTGTGATTTACTTTTTCCAGAGCTTTTCTTCTTTGTAATCCCCTAAGATTATACCATGAAAAAGAACACTTCAACTGAAGGAAAATAATTTAAGTGGCGCAGTGAAGACAATATAGAATCAAACCTGGCCCCAGCTAGCAAATCAATGCTTCTGTGAAAGAGTCGCGAACTTCTGAGCCATGAGCATCCCAATGAACCACACAGTCTACTTCCTCATCTGTCTCCTCAACTCCAGCAGAAGCGTGGTCTTGTTCACGGGTGGATTCCCAGTGCCTAGCACAGTGTTGGCATGAAAGTGCTCAAAAAATGTTTGCCAAGTAGACGACCCTTCCAAGGAAACCGGAAGCTACCCATCAGTAGTCACAGTGCTAGTGGGGGGGATGTCCCAGAGAGACCCTGAAGGAGGCTGAGAACTGCCAGGGGAGGGGGGGCTGCGAGCTGGCAGCCAGCTGTGCCATTGGGCCATTTGGTCACGGGACCTCCAAGCTCACTTGGATGTTGACCTGGATTTTTTTTTTTTGAGCAGTTTTAGGTTCACAGCAAAATTGAGAGGAAAGTACAGATTTTTCCATGTACCCCCATCCCCCACATGCATAATCCTCCATATTAACATCATCCCCACCAGAGTGGTCCGTTTGTTGTAACTAATGAAACTGCCTTGACACATCACTATCACCCAGAGTCCAGAGTCCACCTTAGGGTTCGCTCTTGGTTGTCCAGTCTATGAGTTTGGTCGAATGCATAACGACATGCATCCATCATTAATAGCATCACTCAGAATCTTTTCACCGTCCTGAGCTGCTTTCCCGGGTGTTAGCTTGGCCCCATCATCACCCATGACACTTGCACGAACATCTTATTTCACTCCATAGAATCATAGACTCTCAGAGCCCAGAAGAAATGTATAAAAATATTTAATCAGAACTGTCTCACAGATAAGAGACCATGGTTATTTTAATCATCAATCACTCTCCCCACTGCCTGAGTGGCTCTGAAGCAGTGTAATAACATGGGAGCCAGCCTGACAGCAGCACTCTCCCCCCATGGAGCTGGGATGGGGTGGCAATGATGAGATTCTCCTTGGCGGCCTGGAGTGGGTGGTCAGTGAATCCTCTTCCTTTAGTGAGCAGTGCTCGGCCTCAAAAGGGCAGTTTGGAATGGACTCGCTGCTGATCTGTGTCCTCTGTCTACAGGGTGACAGTGGTGGGCCTCTAGCCTGCACCACGAAATCTGGCAACAAGTGGTACCTGGTGGGCATCATCAGCTGGGGAAGGAGCTGCGGACGGAAGGCCACCCCGGGAATGTACACCCTGGTAGAGAATTACCACCCCTGGATCAGGAAGGTGACTGAGTTAGAGGGAAGGCCCTTCGGCGCTGGGAAAATAGGAGCCTCCCCTAAACAGAAACCAGGGCGCTCCTGGGCCTTAGAATTCCCGGAGCCAGGCAGCTCCAGATTCTGGCTTCTGCTCTACTTTCTGTCCTATATGCTATTCTAGGCAATTTTCTATGGATAATAAAATAGATGCTTTTTTTCAAAGGAGTGTGTGTGTGAGAATGAGCCACCAGCAGAGGGACTGACTGCAGATTAGAGCTAAGGGCAAGAACTGAGGCTGATAACAGAGTAGAACCAGAAGGCAGGCAGGCTGGAGCCATGGCTGAGGGACTGGGCTTTACTGCAGGTGAGTTATGGAGCTCAAACCATCTAAAGACAAAAAGGGTTTTTTCTAGATGTACCTAACCAAAAAAAAAAAAAAAAAAAAAAAGGAGTGGTATGTCAGTGGCCTTCAGGCATGGCTGAATCCAGGAGCTGAGCAGATGTTAACAGGGACTGTTTCTCCAACAGGGCTTCCAAGCAGAAGCCCTCATGACCACTACTACATTCAGTTTGCATACTACCAGCTTAGCAGCCCCAGTAGAGAGAGCCTTGTTCTTGATAATTCCAGCAAATCTGTGGCCTCACACTCTTGACACACAAACCCATGGCTCCTTGCTGCTCCACTCATTGTGGCCAACTGTGGCACTCTCCTAGGCAAGGCCCGAGTCACATGCCAACCCCAGGAGCCACCAAAGGGCCAGCCATCCAGAACTATGTGCCTTAATAGTGGGTGTAGGTGGTGCCCCCAGACAGAAGTGAGGGTTCTGTGAACAGGTAAAAGGGACTGAATACTGGAGATGTCCTTTGGTGGTGGACATTCTGTCTGGCTGACCTCCTGACAGCCAAACCCCAGGCTCCCAGGAGCTCATGAGGACATGAAGCTGTCCAGGGACTGTTACCTTAAGACGACTGGAGGAGCAGGGTTAGAGTGGGGAAAGGGAGAACCAGGAGGTGTTCTCTTTCACAGTCTCTTTCTGAAGAAGTACCGTCCATGCCGTAGGTCATGGGAAAGCCCAAGCTTCTGTTTAAAGCTTTGCATTCCCCAAATTGCCATTGCTTCTTTAGTGGGAGCCCAGGGGATCCAACAGAGACCAAAGCCAGAGGGCAGAGGCACATGGGAGCCCTGAGTCTTTCTGTCTTGTATTGAGAGCTCAGTGTTGGGCACCATTCAGCAGAAAGCACGAATCCATCCTCATGGAGCTTCTTGGCAAATGGTGATGCAGCCTACACCCAACCCTTCCCATTGATGCTGGAGGCTGTGGCACCTGGGACTCCTGCAGAGGGGCCATTGCCAGGGGCTGGCAGGACCCAGAAGTCTCCTCAGAGGGGCTGAGCTGTGGAGGAAGATCGGTTGAAGGGGAAAGCGAGGTCTTTCCAAGTGTGGAAATAGAGCCAACGAAGGGCAAGTTGGAGATGAGCATCGTCAACTTGACTCAAGAATAAACCTAAAGTGAGAACAGGAAATAAGCTGGGAGCAGGGAGAAGGGGGAACAGAAGAGGACTGCCAAGATAGAGAATGAAAATAAGATGATTAAAAAGGGGGGACGAGGCTCAGGAAAAATGATTGTTGCTCAAGAAAGAGGTGAAATCAGTTGTCTCGGAGTAAATGTAAGCACGGGCTCGTTCATTCTAACACAGGGGACTAGCATAAAGTGCCCCGTGCAGGATACCTGGGGGAGGGTGATGGTTAATTTTATGCATCGACTTGGAGGATGGTTTTGGAAGAGATTAACATTTAAATTGGTGAACATGAGTAAGCAGACTGTCCTCTGTAATGTGGGTTGGCCTCATTCAATTAGCTGAAGTCCCGAGTAGGACAAAAAGACCAGCCTCCCCAGGCAAGAAGGAATTTCTCCCACAGACTGGATTCCACCTGCACTAATGCCTCTCCTGGGTCTCCACCTGCACCTCAGCGCTCCTGGGTGGTGAGCCTGCCAGTCCACACTGCAGATTTGGACTCCAAATCTCCAAAATCACGTGATCCAGTTCCTTATAACAAATACACACCACACACACACACTTTTCCGGAGAACCCTAACTAATACAGATTTTAGTACCAAGAATGGTTCTAGAGGAACAAAAACTTAAGGATGAACTTTCTGAACTGGCTTCCTAGTCTGATTTGATTTAAAGACGTTAATGAGCCTCTTTCCAGTAGTAAAGAGAGCCCTGTTGGTCCATGGTGGAATGCGGCAACAGAGAAGCAAAATATGCCCATTGGAGACTCCTGACTCAACACTTCTAAAGAGCAAGGATCTGGTTGAGCATGTAGATGATATTTTTGAACATTTTGTCAAAATAACAAGTATAATGAGATTGGCTGGTGGCTTCCAATGGTACTGGTCAAAGTTGGGGGAGAAAAGGATGAGCTGGCTCTGAACTGACACTGTGGTCCACCGTCTGAGCAGGAGTTTAGGGAGCTCAGGGGATCAATAGAGTTTTAGCGCAGGTCCTTCCCACAGGCGGCCCGGGAAGTCCTGAGTTTATCCTGTGGTTGTTTCTCAAGTTCCAGAATGTATCCTTGGGATAGACATACTTAGCAACTGGCAGACTCCCACTCCCACACTGGCTCCCCTATCTGTGATTGGATAAGTTGACACAGAATTGTCCAAGAGATACACAGGTTGAAAGTTGAAAAGGCACTGGGGAAAATACAAGGGTTTTATTCTTTGACGTAAAGGAAGTCTGGAGATAGGCAGTCCATGGTGGGTGTGCCCCCCACCCCCAAAGAAACCCAGATTTCTTCTCTCTTCCTCCTCCATTGTCTTGACTGTCGGGGACCAGGTGTCTGACTTTGGCTCGTGTGACACAGGGCTCCAAGCAAAACCTCCTCAGTTTCTGTGGCAGAAACCAAAGGCTTGTTTTCAGGGGGATTATGTAAATGCTTTCCTTCTCTGTGCCTCAGTTTACCTGAATTAACGTGTAATCTTCACGAGCTTCATGGTGGGTTTTCTCAGTTAATTCCAAAACATCAGCCAATCTAGAGAAAACAAAACAAAATAAAATTACAAAACCTGACCATGCAACCTATCCAACAGTGGCACTCCGTGGCCCACCGTCTTTTCTGACCCTGGCTGTATTACCCAGGGCCAAACCTCTCTCCATTTTGCTTCTTACCTGCAGAATTAAAGTCAACAGAAATCTGAGTTATTCTTCCTAGAATTCGGATTTGAATACCTAGTGATAAAAATGCTAAAGGCCCTTTGTCCCACTGTCCGGTAACTGCCAAACAGAAATTATTTTTGTGATTCTCAGCCCAAGGAGGGTTCTGCCCTCCACCCCTCGCTCCCCCTCGGGAGACAACTGTAATGTCTGGAGATGCTTTTCAGTGTCACAACTTGGGAGCTGGAGCGGGAGGGGTACTCCCGGCGTCTGCCGAGGGCAGAGCGGTCAGCGATGCTGCTAAATGCGCCACGGGCACTGTGTCAGGGAGAGGGGTTCTTGCCTCGTGCCAGAAAGAACTCAAGAGCGAGGCGTGATAATGGAGATGCATACTCCATAGGCACAGTGCAGCCTGTCTCACTGCGAAGGGAAAGCGGCTCAGGAGAGACACACGCCATAGGCTGAGAGCGGCCGTCCTAGAAGGTAAGCGGGGGAGCGACCGTGAGCGCAGAGGAGTTAGGTTCTACGGGCTCAGGAATTTCACAGGCCGATGGGTAGCGGGATTATTCCAACTACTTTGGAGAAGAGGTAGGGATTTCCAGGAAACGCCCCCCCACCCCACTTTTTGACCTTTCAAGGTCAGCCTAGGCACTGCCATGGCGCTGCGGGTGCATCATGAGGCTCAAGGTCTACTGGAAGTTGAACCTTCCACCATCTTGGTTCTAACCAGTGTGTCTTGTCCTCAGTGGCTGTGTCATCCCTTCAATGGTCGTGCCCTGCCCACTTTCCTCCCACTTCATTAGAACAACCCACCCCCTAAGGCTTTTCTGGCCTCAGTATCAGGAGTGCCAAGGTCGAGGAACCCTGGTGTAGGCTCCCCTTCTCTTACCAGAGCACTAGATTGGGGGTGTGGCTCTCCAAGGTCAGAGCTGGATTTCAGAGTCCTGGATCCTGACAGTCAGGCCAGGCCTTGTTCTAAGTCCCCTGACAGCTTTCAGTGGGAGCCCCCTCCTCCTCCTCTCTCCCTCCCCTTTCACCGCCCCACCTCTTCTTTGCCTTCCATCTGTTGGACTGTGGGGTCCACAGATTCGGGTCCTCACGGTCCCTTCCTCCCGGCGTGTGTCGCAGTGAACAGGCAGGGGTCCCACCCTGGTCCATGCCCTGCCGCTCCTTACAGCACAGATGTGGTTCCTGGGCCCCCTGGGAAGACCCCACCCACCCTGCTTCCAAGCCTCACAAATGACCCATGTTGGAGTCTGCATCTCTGTTATTGGAGAGATTCCATTACAGGCAGCGGGGAATAACTCCTTGTGAGACATGTGGTGTAAACTTGAGCCCTGGAAGCAGCTTCCTTTTGGTTTCCAGGGAGGAAAGGGAGAGAGTGAGCCGCGGAGCGGGAGCCAGGGAAGACGGCGGCGGGACCAGCAGGCGCAGCTGGAGGCGGGATGGGTGGGGCGTGGGGAGGAAGTGTCCCGGTCTTCTGCAGTCTCCTGCCGCCCATCAGCCCCTCCTGGAGGGGAAATCAGTGTTCCGCCTTCTTGTTCTCTCCCCAAAAGCTCTGAATTTAGAAAAGGCAACGCAAACCCTGACGAATGCATATTGTCTTCCAACTATAAATGCCGCGTCCGCTTCCGCCCCCGCGCAGCTGTCACCGCCTCCTGCCGGCTGCCGGTGGCGGTGTCGGGCGGTGTCGCCGGCCTGGGCGCTCAGCCACCGCCGCTGGCAGCGCCCGCCCTGGGCGCAGGTGGAGCCAATGAAATGGGCTGTTTGTTGGCCGCCACTCGAGGTCACCTGGTTTCTGAAGAAGCAGCTTTTCGACAGTCTCCTGCAGGAGGAGCCTTTCCCACTCAAAACTGCTGGCATTACCCCCCAACCCCCACCCTGACAACTCACTTGTTTGGAAAATAACTGAGAAACCTTTTATTCCTCCTGTTTTTAACAGCATCTTCTCCCATCCCTGTAGCCTGTAGACGTAGAAGGGCAGAGAGGACCAGTTCCATTGCTCAGATGAGGAAACCAGGGAGGCTCAGAGAAGGG